AACATGTCAGAGAATATGGCAGTCATGCAACGTTGAAAGGTTGCTGGTGCATTACATAATCCAAAAGGCATTCTACGATATGCAAAAACACCAAAAGGACAGGTAAAAGCAGTTTTCTCTTGATCCTCCGGTGCTACTGGGATATGAAAATAACCGGAGTAACCATCTAAGAAGCAGTAGTGAGAATGACCCGCTAACCGTTCGAGCATTTGATCAATAAAAGGAAGAGGGAAGTGATCCTTTCGGGTCGCCTCATTCAACTTCCTATAATCTATACATACTCTCCAGCCCGTAAGTCCGTAACAATTCGGGTAGGTATCATCTCATCCTTATCGTTTCTCACTACTGTCATTCCTCCCTTTTTAGGGACAACATGCACAGGACGAACCCAAGTACTATCAGAGATGGGGTAAATAATACTTGCATCTAATAGCTTCATTACCTCCTTTCGCACTACTTCTTTCATGTGCGGGTTTAGTCTCCGTTGTGCCTGAATTGAGGGCTTAGACTCCTCCTCTAGAAGGATCTTATGCATACAAAATGCTGGACTAATGCCTTTGATGTCTGCAATTGTCCAACCTAAAGCTTGTATGTGCTGGCGTAAGACCTTCAAGAGCTCCGGTTCCTGCGGATCAGTCAGTGTAGCAGAAACAATCACAGGTAAAGTGGAGTTTTCCCCTGATATGCATAATTAAGTTGACTAGGCAATGGTTTTAGTTCCAATTCCGGAGGCTGGATCCGAGATGGAACCATTGGCTTTGGAAACCTAGCATTTTCATCACCTTCCACCTGCATAGGCAATGCTTCGAGCATTTGTGCCCTCTTTGACACGGTTAGCTCATCAAGTTCATTATTAGAATCATCAAACTCAGAATCAGCATCATAATCATTGTTCAAAATAGCATCAGTGCATGATTCTATGACATCCACCGCAAACACATCACTAGACTCATTAGGGTACTTACTTGCATGGTATACGTTGAATTTTACCTCTTCTTCACAGACTCTGAATGTCAGCTCTCCCTTTTGGACATCTATGAGAGGACCACCCGTAGCTAGGAAGGGTCTCCCAAGAATGAGAGGTACTTCCCTGTCCTCCTCCATCTCCAGAATGACGAAGTCGGCGGGGAAGATGAATTTTCCCACCTTGACTAAAACGTTCTCCACCACGCCTTTGGGGACCTTTACTGATCTATCAGCCAGTTGCAGAGTGATTTGAGTCGGCTTGATCACATCTTGGAGTCCCAACTTCTTATAAACAGAATATGGCATGAGGTTTATGCCGGCTCCAAGATCACAAAGCGACTTTGTGAACTCCGTCTCACCAACAAAACATGTGATGGTGAAGCTCCCCGGATCTTCCCTCTTTTCTGGCAATTTATTTTGGATCACAGCACTACACTCTGGTGTGAGTGTTACTTTCTCCAAATCACTCCATTTTCTCTTCTTTGTCAACAATTCCTTAAGAAATTTGGCATACGTGGGCATTTGCTCAAGATCCTCAGCTAGCAAAATGTTGATGTGCAATTGCTTGAAGAGATTCACAATTTTTTTGAAGTTTGGGTCCTCCAAGGGCTCCATCAACCTTTGAGGGAATGGTGCGGGTGGGTCGTAAGGTTTTAGCTCCTCCCTCTTCACATACCCTACTGGTTTTGCACAGGCAGAATGCTTTTACACAGGGAAACTGCTGTCAATTTGCCTGTGCAAGGATGATTCCTCATGGTCTGCACAAGATCTTTCTCCCGGTGCTTCGTCTTCTGCCTCTGGTGCCTTTTTCGAGCTTATGGGGTTTTCCAAGGCCTTGCCACTCCTCAATGTCACCGCCACAACTTTGGCATCTTTTGGATTCCTCTCGGTATTAGCCGGTAGTGTCCCTGGGATCCTTCCTTGCATATCCGCCAGAGTTTGAGCCATCTGTCCCATCTGCCTCTCCATAGCTAGCATAGACAATTGTAAATTATTGTTGATGGCTAGCTGTTGAGTGACAAATTGATCCAAGCCCTTTATATTATTGTCGGTTTTCTGCATGTGAGCCAGAAGCAATTCTTCAAGTTGTGGTTTCTTCTCTGGTTGAGGTTGTTGTTTCTGCAGGCCTGGAGGTGGAATGTTGCGAGCACCAGTTGGGTTGTTGTTTGCCCAGGAAATGTTAGGATGCTTCCTCCATTGTGGGTTGTAGGTATTTGAATACATACCTCCCTGGCCTTGATTTCGCTGATTGTTGATATAGTGCACATCTTCCAAATGATCAGCTCCTAGTGGACATAGATCCCTATGATGAGCACCTTCACATAATTCGCAAAAAACAACCTCCTCTTGTCTACCAAGAGCAATCTTAGCCAGCCTTCGTTCGAGTGCATCGAACTTGGAATCCATCTTAGCATCAATCTTTGCTTCTAAACTTGCAACTCTGTCTATCTCATGCAAGCCTCCTCTTCTTCTAATGCTGGTCTCACTACCCCATTCAGTATCTTTAGAACATATCTTCTCTACCAGTTCATATGCTTCTGTTGCTTCCATCCTTGTGAAACCATTTCGGGAAGCATTATTCAAAGCATCTCAGAATTTTCTTCTGATTCCGTTGAAGAAAATAGAGATCACTTTCCAATCTTCAAGACTGTGGCTTGGGCATCTAATTAAAAGCCCCTTATAGCGCTCCCATGCCTCGGTCAGACTCTCGTCTTCAGCTTGTTTAAAAGTAACAATTTTCTCTTGCCTTTTCATTGCCTTGGCAGGAGGAAAGTACTTATCCAAAAAGGTCTTCTCAAGCTGACCCCATGTCGTGATGGAACGGGGTGTTAAGTTATGAAACCAGTGTGATGCATTCCCTAGCAGAGAAAATGAGAACATCCGAAGACGGATTGCATCATCAGACACGGTCGGGCTCTTCATAGTATCACAAATGCTCGCGAACCGGCGGAGATGTTCATGAGGATCCTCAGTGCTAGCCCCTGAGAAAGTGTACCCATTGGTGATCATATTGATGAATGCTGGGGTAATTTCCATGGTTGCATCCCCAGCCGGAATGACAACACATGAAGCTCAAGCTCCAGTCCTTCGATTCAGACAAGCCCTGATTGATCGATCCTCGTCTGCCATGATGTCTCGCTCAATGTAACGAGGTGGTGGTGTCGGTGGTGTAGGGACGACAGGTGATGAAGCCTGCCCTCTCTGTTGACGATTCTTGGTTAGGGAAGGCCTAGGAGTTATGGTTGTGGTTGGCTGCTTCGCTAACTTGACCTGCTTCCTGTTCTGTCGGCAGGTCCTTTCTATCTCTGGATCAAGTGGCAGTAAATTGCTGGCCGTCCTCCTTGGCATGCACGAGGAGGATACACATGAAAAATTCACCTTCACACTAACACCCAGATAAAAATAGTTCACTCACAAAAATCAACAAAAATAAGGTATGGCAGTCCCCGGCAACGGCGCCAAAAACTTGATAGGACAAAAGCGTATATGCCACTTTCCTATCTCGTAGTAAACCGGAAAGTCCGGGTATCGTCTCTCAGGGACTGGTACAACCTTAATTTTTATCAATTCTATGGAGCAAACTATAAGTGAAAATGGTTTGGTTGATGATATTATTAATTAATAGCAAAATAATTAAACTAATTAAGTAAAGTAAACTTGTCGGGAGAAATTCAATGGGAGAAAGCTCTGGGAGTAACATCGGAACTCGCTACCTATCATATCCAAATTAATTCACATATTCCAATCAATTTAATCCAACTCTCTACAGCCAGGATATCACGAATGTGCTAGCTATCCCTGTCGGGAATTACTACGTACTAAACAATTAATTCAAATCCTACTGTCGTAGCTCAATGAATTAACTAATTAGCCTGAAGAACGATATCCTATTTAAGACCACATAGCACCTTATTTAATCCACTGTCGCTTCGATAAGTTACTATGTCACATGAAATATCAGTTATTAGGGTTTCACTGTCGCTAATAACCTAAATAACAACAAATCAATGTATTGATGGCCAGTCAACACAAAGCATTAATTAATTTCATGCGATAGAGATTGGAAGAAAAGAAATACGAATTAATCCATCAAATCCATAAATAGCTACATCATATGGTGTTTCCCCCATAAATCGGGGTTTAGTTCATGATGAAACTAATATAAAACAATATGGTTTTGATCATCATGTTCAAAATCAACAATAAACAAACAATTCAGACTAGAAAATCCAACCAAATCACTTGTTCTTGTTGAACTAAGCTCACGGTCTTGAAGAAGTCGATCGCCGATTCGCCAAATCGCCGCTGCTCGCTAGTCCCTGGTTTTCGCTGCGCCCTGCTGCTTTTTCTCTGCCAAAAGAAAAATCCTCGCCAAGAGATGTTTTTCTCCCATTAAAAGTCTCTGTCACCCAATATAATTCCGCTGCCAGCAATTAAAAGATCCCCCGAAAATTAATTCCCCTCGTCCTCTCTTTTTCCTCAAGGCCGCCAGCCTTGTGTCCAATTCAGTTGGGCCTTCCGCCCAATAATTCCTCCGCGCAAACCCTCCAGCATCCTCCCACAATAACACTTCCGGCCCATTTAGGCCCACTGCTCCTCCTCGCCCAAGTGAGTATTCCACCAGTGATTCGAGCCCGATTGATTGCTTGTACACTCGCTTCTTTTTAGCGCTTTCTCCACCAATAACATATCAAACTCATGGCACTAGGCAGTAATGGTTTTTCAACCATTCCCGGGTTAGCGAGCCCTAAAATAGCACCAATTGACTTAAATATATCGTGGGATAGTCACATAAAGTTCAAGAATCCGATATATTAAAGTCGGTTATCATTTCTCCCCGCATCCATCCATTTCTCGGTTTGCACCAAAAAACCGGTACGCGATCTTCTTTCTTCGTCGGCTGTTGGTAGCTCTTTTTGCCGGCGGTAGGGGAGAAAAGAGTTGACTTGTGACCACCCAAATTTGGTACTGATTGAATATGAGACGCAATCCCCGAGTGTGTTTAAAAACGCGTATTATTAGCCGACGATGCACGAAGTTTCCTTCTTTGTCGATCCCACAATCCGATAACTTTAGTCTCCCAGCTACCCTATATACATCTTTGGCTCAATTGGCCTGGCTGCAGGATCAGCCCCTTGCCTACGGTGGTCAACGTGCGGTTTCCCATTTCGCATCTGCTATCCGCCTCACCAAGGTTGATATCTCTGCAAAACAGCTTACTTTACTTCAATTATGTTGCCGTTGATATAGTTGATTCAATTTTCTCTGAAGAAAGACCCCTTCTTTTCTTTTCCCCTGCTTAAGAAGCCTCCTGATGGATTTGGAAAGCTTTGCAGATATCCTGTTTCCCAAACTCTTGTTAGAGTGAACTGGTCATGTCTGAGCCAGTCAATGATGGCATTGAACGACTTACAACCCTCCCCCACATGGCAATTTCTGCTGTAGATGGCGCAAACGTAGATGATGGGAATGATGCTATGGCAAAAAGTCCCAGGTACTTACTGATTGTGCATCATTATTACCTGTGTTGTTCTGTTCGTGGAGAGGTTGGTTATAGGTAGCTACTTAGTCGGAACAGTAATGGGTTCATTTGCCTTATTCAGGAAGGTGGACAGTTGCTGTTCCAATGTCGTTACCCCAGCAGTAAAGGGTGCAACTGTTTCTTTGCGAAGCAAGAGTGAGGCAGATGCGCTCGATGATGGCCACCGGTGGCGCAAGTATGGGCAAAAAGCAGGGTCGAGAAGTCATCCCAAGTAATGCTTCTGAATTTTGACAATAAGAGGTGGTGCTACATTTGTACTTACTGTTGCTCATTCCTTTTGCATTTCTTGTCTCAGGAGTTACTTCAAGTGTTCATATGTGGGATGCTCGGTGAAAAAGCGTGTAGAGAGGGATCCAGATGATCCTGAATTTGTTATTACTACATATAAAGGCACACACAATCACAACGTTGTTACACCTTCAGCGAAGACTAGCAGCAGTCATGGAAGTACAGCGCGTGTGGTTGATGGTGACTCCGTCTGTATTGGATCGGATAATAGTGGCATAAACCTTGTGAGCGATTTATCAAGGATTAGTTCGGTGAAAAGTGGCATTACAACAGAAGAGGAAGAATATGGTCATGATGTTACCTTCGGCAGATGTTACAGGTGCTAACTCAACATCATCTATCATTGTTTTCTTTTAAGAGATTTGTAAGTTGATATTTAAGAGTTTTGTATTTGTATCAATCAGGAAGATGGATACTAGGAGTTCTGATGTAACCCCAGCAGTCAAGCCCGAAGTTGTCACTTTCCGAACCAAGAGTAAGATTGATGTAGTGGATGATGGTTACCGTTGGCGCAAGTATGGCTTGAAATCGGTGCTGGGAAGTCCTCATCCCAGGTAGCTATTTCATACCACTGACCAAAAGAGTTGGGTTACATTTTGCAATCTTTTCATTTGCATTGCTTATCTTCCTGAGATATATAACTTCCTAACTCTGTTTATAACTCAAAATTCAGGGCTTACTACAAGTGCACGCATGCTGGATGCCATGCTAGAAAGACCGTGTGTAGGGATTCAGATGATCCTGAGTTTGTTACGACCACAGTTCAAAACACACATAACCATGTTACTGCAGCAACTTCAAGAGGTAAGACTACTACTAATCATGACATTGCATCGTCAGCAGCTATGGGCAGTATTGAATGTGAAGAAAGTAGCTACATTACTAGCCTCGGTTTTGGGAACAATATGAGTTCCACTGCTGCTGAGACTCGATGCAATAAGAACTTTGGGCTGAACACGAGTGACCCGTTGAGGTTTGACATAATAACTAGCCTTGATCTTGGAATTGGGATGGATTTTTTCGCTATCGATGATTTGAGCGATTCATTTTACTCCTTCCCTGAAAGTGGAATGAGTTTTACTTCTGGAAATGGAAAGGCAAATGCCATGCCGTCACCTGCCAGTTACTTGATGAGGAGTGGAGAGCAGAATGACACAATGGCCCTTGAGTTCCAACAGCATCAAGAGCTTGAAAAAGTTGATGAAGGAACATTAGAAATAGAAGAATCAAGGCAGTTACAATTTCAATTTTCCATGGCTTCACCCGAGAAGGAGCCTTATCACTGTAATGATCTCATGAATACAGGAAACATATACCTTTCAAAGTCTCCCTCATCATTGTATTCTTTTTGTGCACAATACTTTGTGTCCATTTTCTTGCCATATTGTAAATATCAACAGCTTTGGGACGGAGGGATGCAGGTAATTACCAAGAACATTTGCTTCATCTTTTATCATTTCCAATTGAAATCTCACAGGAAGTAATTCATCTTTATTTGTATATATGTTACTGCATGCAGCTTTTGGTAAGCTTGAAGCATCTAGATTTGAAGCATTCTGCTCTACGTTGGATACCGGACCTATCAAAGTCGCAGAAACTTGAGGATTTGGAACTTGAAGGCTGCATAAACCTGGTTGGGATATCCTCCATCCAACATCTTACCAAGCTTCAACATCTCAACCTCAAGGGGTGTCAGAGTCTCAGAGGGCTTCCTAGTCTGATGAAGCTGAAGTTCCTCAAAACACTTGATCTCTCTCACTGCTCAAATCTCAACAGACTTCCTCCATCGCTTGGTTGCATTTCTAGTCTCTGTGAACTGAATCTCAGAAACTGTGAAAAACTTGACCGTCTCCCTCGCAGTGTTGTACAGTTGATGACATCCCTTGAAACTCTCAATATTTCTGGCTGCTCAAGTTTATGGAATTCCATTACTGGCATCCTCATTAGCCACTGTAGGTTGATTATAATTCATCGTAATCAACAAAATCGAATGGTGTGAACTTGTGAAGTCTTACCTGTTTCTTTCTGTTTGATCTTTGCAGCCTCTGAAGATGCTTCTCCTGAACCACCACAACCTATCACACTGGTGCAAGTGGATGCTGTTGCAGCGACCAGAGCAAGTGCTGTAGATTCACCGCCATCAGAGGACCCGTCTTTGGAGTCGAGGGGAGAAAAAACTATAATATTGGAGGATTCTAATGCTTTTACGAGAGAGAAAACTATCCTAGCCATAAACAATGCAGTAAATTATGGATTGGAAGAGGAGCAGGGTAAGAATGCTGCTATTATACCAAAGAAAGATCGACAACAAATTTTGAACGATGAAGAACATGAAGACACAGAGAGTGTAGGGAATGAGCCACTGAAGATTGCTGAGGCCACTACATCTGTTTGCTGTCAAGTGGAAGACTGCGGGGTTGAACTTAGCAGTGAAAAGATTTACCACCAAAGAGTCCAGACTTGTCAGGTCCACTGTAACACTAATACAGCAATGGTGGGGAAGGTAGTTCGGCGATTTTGCCAACTATGTTCCAGGTAACCGAATTCGAAACTGAGTGCTTCTTTTTCTTAATATCTAGCCAGCCTTTCCCCTCTGAATCGTTTGATTAAATCTTGGTTACTTCTCATTATTGTTACCAGGTTTCATCTCATTGAAGAATATGATGAAGAGGAAAGAATCTGCCGCAGTCGATCAGCTAGATATCGTCAAAAGCGCGGTAGGCAGAGTACTACTACCACTGGTACAGACTTGGAGGAGAAATTCCTGTTACTGAAAAGAACAAGAACAATAACAAGCGACAATACGATTGCATTAGCCGAGACTGTTAAGGAGTTTCTGAGCCTTTCATTGGAAGATTTGGCAGAAGCCAATGCAGTTGGCAACTTCGAGCATGCTGTTCTCGCTATGATTGAGCAGTCATCGAGTTTGGATGACAGGGCGACGAAGGAGAGTGTGTTGGTTTCTTTGGCAGAGTGGAAACAGAGTGTTCCCGAGATAGTGATGAGTATGCAGAACGCTGAAGCTGAATCAGCTGTCGCTTCTAGAGAAATGAGAGAGATGGATGTGAGGTTGACTCGTGGAGAGCTACACCTAAGTTTGCTGGATTTGGAACTGTCTTTGATATCGGAGGAGGAAGAGCAGATTGAGGCTGAGATCCAGCGTTTGATGACCGAGAAGAAGAGATAGGGGATCATTATTGCATTATTATACCAATACAAACTGCAACGATCACGATATGTAACAGTAGAGTGAAACAAGGTTTTTTCGAGATTGGCAGTAATCCTATAGACGACCAGAAGAAGAGGAGTTCTTTGGTAAACCCATCATTCTTTTATACATGAAAGCTGGGTACACTTTATTGGCCCAAAAGTTTGTTACTGTTTCATTATCTGTCGTTTAGTGTCCAACTTCATACAGAATTCCTCCCGCAAAAGCTTTGGTTGGCTTCCAATAGAAAGCTCCTCTCCGACCTGGCATTATTGCCCGCTCCGACCCAACGTAACCTTACCTCTGCTCTGCTGCAACGATCCATCAGGCCACCATGCTTTTCCCATTATGATCAGACCACTCTACTGTACTTCTCCCTTTCACCTCCTCTTCGTAAATGCTGGCGCACGTCATCCCCCATACCCCTTTGCACAACTGCTTGAACACGGCACCAGGCATGCATTGTACTGACCAGTCAACAACTTCACCATTATACACGGAAGAAGTGGTTCTTCTCTGGTTTCTGCCCTATCACCTCATTCTCACCTCCTACTGGAATTGGAATTGGAATTTCGAATTGGGATTCTTTCTCTCTCTCTCTCTGTTCCCATATTCCACCCACTCTTAGTTCTTCTTCTTCCACCAGTTCTCTTTTGTGCTCTTACCTCTTCTGCCTGCCTTTGCCAATGAAATTCTTCCTCTGGCCAAAATCATGCATTCGCTATGCTCTCCTGAAGATGGAGATAAGGATGCATGTGGACATTTGAGAGGACAGTGTTGTTGGCTCTCGGTGAGTCGTTTCAGAAAATGGAGGAAGGAGTCCATGGAGGAGGAGGCGGCAGCGGAGGAGGATTAGGAATAGGAGAGGGCAGCAGCGGAAGATTGGGGGTGGAGGTAAAGACGAGGGTTTTCTTTGTCTCCGTATCAGCACCAAGATGTATGTTTGCTCATTCTAACCAGAGATTTCATTGTTCCGTTCCAATTGATGCTTTGCTTTTTGTTGCACCGCCGGTGATCGCCATTTATCCTTCTTCTAGGAAGAAAAGAAGCTGAACCTGAGAAGGGGTGAAAATAGCTCAAACACACGAAAGCGTTGTATGAAGATGAAGAAAGAAGAACTCGCTGGAGGCCAAAGCCGGATCCATCTGCAATAATTCCACTACTGCAGCTCATCACATGGGCAACAAAGTTCTACCCATCAGCAGCAAAGGCAATGCTGCATTGCCTCCACGGTTTCCTCTTCGTCGGCAGAGGAATATGAGAAGAGAGACGCCAAACCAGTCAAAGGGGATAGCAAGACCAAGGTCATTTCCAGGATGAAGGAGCTCATTAGATGCCTGCAGCTACCAAATCTGAGAAGAATGGGAAGTTCCTTGGCCACAAGGTAGCATCTTTTTAATGTATGAACATTTTGGCCAAAAATTATGTTTTGTGTATGTGATCTTTTTATATCTCTGCCAGGTTTCACCCCAATTTTGAAACCGAGGAGCCCTGAAAGCAATGCAACAGGATTCAGACCTAAAGGGAAAAAATGGTTCAGCTTGAGATGGGAAGCTGAACGCAGCTCCACTTGCTCGACAGTGTCGTGACTTCTTGCCCAGTCCAGGTACGGTCAAAGACATAAAGGCAACTAGATCGCCACGGATTCAGACTGTGAGCGTTTATGTACATACATATATACTTATTGTTTCATTCATGTTTCTCTTCATCCAGAGAATTTGAACAACCTTCATTTGACAGTTGTGGCATTGCAGCTTTGAACAAGGCTGGAAGGAGGCATTAGAGGAGTATCCATTGATCAACGGTTTAAATGAATGGCATTCCAAATGAAAGAAAAATAATGGTTACTTGCCTCTTTTGTATTTCCTCTTCGAGAGATCTATTGATTACATTTCTGTATGTTGCTTATTCTCTTTTTATCCTTGATATCACTTTGTTCTGTCATTAGTAGTAGTTGTCTCCCTGGTTCGTTGAATTTTTGAAATTGATGGTGCAAATTAGATATCAAGTTGCTGCTATAAATTTATTATGCAACTTACAGAGTTGGGTTATTAGTTTTTGGCTCTATGCGATGAGGATTCTTCTTATCAAATTCTGTTGTTGATATATTCATTCAATGGCCTTTGCTTCGCTCCTTTAATACTTATGATGTATTGCTCCTCTGTCTATTTAAGATTTTTATCAGTGTAATTCATTTTACGTTGAGCTCAAATGATATTTTGTATGCATCTAGCTGCTTTTCGTTTACCGATTACTTTGTGTTTCTTTCCATAAACATATGTGGCTCTCGGATAATCTGTTAATCTTCAATCCATTAGTTTCATTGCATGTTTCAGCTGCTATCAATCCGTTAGACTGATTATATGTGCAGCATTGTAAAGGTTTCTTATGACCGACTGCTTTCTCTTTTTCAATTTCTAGATTTCGCGTTTTCTACAAGTTTTGGACATAATTGTAAGCTTTTGTAGTGTTTCATGTTTCCTGTGCAGTTTCCTCTCCGTGTTTTGTGAAAATTTAGGCTTCAATCTGGTCAGATGATGAAGACTTATCGATGAGGTTGTGAATGACTTTTCGGTTTGCAGTTAATAGTGGTATAGATTCCAGTCTTCTGATATGCAAGGGCTCTCTATTTGTTTTGTGTTGTTGTATAATTCCCCTCCATCTTCTTCAAATGTGCAATCGAATGGGTTTCTTCCATTGGGTTTCCTGTGTTGTACATAGTTGTTCGTTGATTTAGTTGACTAGAGAAAAAATTTGTTTTAAAATTTGCATTGTGGGTTTGATAGGCTGCTTTGGAGATCTGATTCATAGTTGTCTCTCTTTTGCTAAACTGGAGTTGCACCTGCAGCTAAAAGATGGAAACTTCGCTTGCACAGTTATGGTGATTGCTTACCACAATCTATAGGTTGTCATTGGAAACTGCAATGTTTTGACATGGCAATTGGGATGTCTTTTACTTCTGATCGTTCTTCCCATTAGTCCATGAGGTCATTTTGTGTGTTATTTTTTCCATTGTTTCTTTTATTTAAAGAAAATGCGGCTGTAGCTATGCATTTTTGTGTGTGTGTTGGGTGTTGTTTTTGTCAATGCTTCTTTTACTTAAAAGGAATTGCAGCTATTCATGAGCAAGGTAATTAACTGCACTTTTCATACTGTGAAATCCAAACCACTGACAAGAATGCAACAGTTCTCAGTTTGCCATCAACTGAACTGCCTGCCAAATGATCATGTTGTTGCAAATTTAGTGCCCGCGGCGTAGCCGTGGGTATTGATTCTAGTAGGTCTTAATAGCACAGTCCAATATAATGGGCATTCTCTGAATGACAAGTTGGTAAAATCCTTTGGCATCTTCACTGTTCCAATGAGAATAGATCTGAGGCCGGCAGAGTATCTCATCTCCTTCCCTCTGATTATCACTTGATGGTAACAACTTGGTATTCTATCGTTGCTAATAGGCTACACATTTTACACAAACCGATAATCAATCGAACAGTTAAAGAATCGTTACATACTTATTGAACTCCATATCAATACTCACTCACCATAAGCGCATCACCAGCGAGCACCAAAAAAGAGGAAGGTTAGAGTTTGACGTCGATCCAATGGCCATCCTTGGTTCTGATATGCAAACCATCGGACTTCTGGTGAGGGATTGATATCTTAGATTTGTTGTCGCGACTTGGGTGGAGAATTGGGAGCTGAGGTCGTCGATTAGCTGGGAATGGAGATTTTAGGGAGTTCTGCCGGAGTTGCAGGGAACCGTTGGATAATTGGAGGGAAAGAAGAGTAAAGGCAGAGAGACAAAATTTGGTTTATATCAGTGGAACACTTCTACTATGCTATATAGTATTGGTGCTTTAATGTACAACTTAAAGTTGTACTATAACATTAAATATATAAGTTTAGGTTGTACCATAAAGCAATTTGTACCATTATGTTATAGTACAAATTGAAGTTGTACCATCACATAAAGGTACAAGTTCAAGTTGTACTATAAAAGAATTTGTACAAAAAGTATAGATACAATCTGAAGTTGTACCATAACGTAAATGTACAATTTTAAGTTGTACTATAAAGACAAAACCCTATAGCACCAATACTATATAACATTGTAAAATTTCTCTAAACTAGTGGTCTGGTGACAGTTTTACACAAGGCTCGAGTATTTATACTTCCCTTTTTGGCCAATTACCTAATAACTCCCTTGCTTCTATTCTATTACAATTTGGTACTTCTGTTCACTCTTTTTGCTTTTTGTAGTTTTCTCGATATTGGGCCAAGTCTACCAAAGAGGTAGAACTCTTCAAACTGCACAATTCTTATTAGGTTATTAGGTTTGTATGAGTTCATGTGCTGGGATTTACAGCCACATATATACAGCATATAACCTCCTTTTTGACACCCTACAAGCTGATGTAGCAATCTAGTTATAAAATCCTAGGATGCCGATGGTATTCCATGAGGTCTTTTGATGCTAGCTACTCAAACATAACCAATTGTGTTGAATAAAATTGGAAACAAAGTAAAACAAAGTGGGTTGAGGTGCCCTAAGTTCTAAGCTACTAATGGAAGAAAGTAAACAAATGATGCAAGCAATAAAAACTAATGTTTAGGTAGTTTTTTCTAGATGATCATACATACAATCTCCTTAATAAGATGCCTATATGAATCTTCTATTATAATGTCCTATCACTTCCACTAAGACCATCCTACTCGAGCTTTCACCACATACAATAGGAACTTGATTAGCTTATGGGTGCTTTCGCTTCATGTCATCACATAATTAATGAATAACAAGAAAGTTAGGATATCACATGATTAAGTGTGAGCCTCTTAAGCCATAATCTATAGCATCGATTATCTAAATTATCAAGCAACATCCTCATTCATGTATGGATGGGTAGCCAGTCCTCCCATACTTGCCTAGAGATGATGCTTACTACATGAGATTAGTATTCTTTGTCTCCATAATAGTAGTTTAAACGATACTATAGTAGCATTCATAATAGACTCATACACATAGAACAATCAAAACATTATATGATATACAACATCGATGATAATGGGCAATAGAAGATTAGAGCATGCATTAATAAGCATCTAAAGAAACAAGCATTATTGATGAACCAAAGCATAGAACGAGATGGGCATCTTATAAACTCATAGAAATTAATACATAAACATCATTAGAATTCACATCCCTAAACAAATCGAGCTAGAAAAGCATAAGAGAACAGGAAGACACCATCGAGGATGAAGAACATTGATGTTGAGACATCCTTAGTTGAGCTCTAACAAGAATTCACTTCCACTCTAAGGATTTCTAACTCGTGCCCCTGGGACAGAGTTATGGTAAAAGGCGTGTATGAAAACTCTAGTCTAACCTCCTATTTATATTAGTTACAGAAGGGAGTTTTCTAGTCTTTTTCATCCTAAAGTCAGCCAAAACCTTCCTTGTACAACTTGAACTCGGATTCTTTCAACTTGGGGATGAAGTAAGATCCTTCTAGAAGCTTATGGAGGGTTTTCCCTGAGTGGCGGTCTAGCGCGGTGGCGGCCGATGCCCCTTTTCCTTTGGGGATTGGTTGCTTAAACCAAAATCAATCTCTCCTCCAAATTTGGGCACATTTTGACTTATAGAACTCCGGTTGGACCTCGGTCAAAGTTGGACTTGCTACACTATCAAATCTGGTTGTTTTGGCTGTAAAGTGAGGATCCGATCTCCAAATCTATCTCTGTTTGAGCCCATGAACTTGTAATTTCGTCCTCCTTCTTTTCTAGTGGGTTATTTAGTCTATCTGCCCATCGTGAAACTTCCATCTTTAGTTTCCATCTACAAACGTCTCTCCCACCTCCATCATTGTCATAAAAAATCCCGGGTTCTCTTATTTTGATAATAATGCAATGCCACACAATCTCAATTCCACCCAGCAAAACAGAATTCGTCTATTCTGTCGAGAAACTATATTCGATCGGAACTTAATATGGTATCAAGTGGATTAACGAAGGCTGATCAAAATCAAAATCTAGATTCAAGAACCAAGCTCATCAAATCCCTGCTCGAAATAGAGAAATCGAAACCCAAATTAAAGAACAAAAAGTGAGTAGTATGTTATTAATCTTGCGTACAACCCCGGATTGAAGAAACAGATTGCTCATGTTCCCCTCCTTCACCAAGCGAACACACCACAAACGATTATCATTTTCCTTCCTATCATCTTTGTTCTAACTGTAAGAATAAGCAGTTGATCTTACCAGCGGCAAGAGAATAGCAATCGCAAGAGTATGATAGAGAGGCATATCGAGATAAAGGTTTAGCTCAATGAGAGTGAGTGTTAAACGCAGCTCCGAAAATGGGACGACATACTATTAATTAAAGATGTGATCGTTGAATCACTCAATCATGATTCAGGAGAATCTGAATAGGAGGGCAATATCTGAGAGGTTTGACGGAAGCGGAACTAATTATTATTGAAATATTATTGTTGTGATTGATCTAATACAATCAAATTTTTTTTATTAGTTCATGTAATACTATTTAGTCTAAAAAAATTGTATGAGTAGATATTTTGTGTGATAACATTGTTATCACAAGCGATATAAATTTGTTATGTCAAAATTCCTAAGAAGTGTTAATATTTTGTGATGACGATATATCTCTCACAAATTATTATTTGCAAGACATTTTTTTTGTTGCAAAATCTAAAAAATATGTTACCTATTACTTTACACAATATCGCCAATATGATACACTTTCAACACTTTTTGCAAAACATTTCAAGTGTTGGCAAATACCATTTTTCTAGTGATTCTTGCCCCTAGATGTTTC